GCTTGGGTTGGAACAACGACTGAACACCACTCCTCAAGGAACACCTGTTCCCCCTAGGCCTCCTCCTCAAGCTCCAAGCCTTAGTATCCCAGAGTTTCCTTCGTCTGACATGACGCGTCGAGCTCAAATTGTGAGCGAGCCGGAGAGTGCAGTGGGACCACTTGGTGCTAGGACCATGACGGCAGCTGAGACTTTGAGAGACAGAGACTGGTTTGAGAATGGTCCGGTGATGCCGAGCTCTTTGAGAGAACCTGTTGGTAATCCTAGAGGGTTTGGTGTTACCTCTACCAGAGAATCCGCCTGGCCCACGGAAGGATTGCAGTGGGGAAACGGGGGACAAACCAATGGGGGTCACAACAATGAGAGGGATCCTTGGGAGGGACAGGATGTGTTTAACATACCGTTTCCACCTGGGAGGGATCCTTTCAATCCTGGTGATCGCACGTTTTGGAACCTCCCTGCGCTTGAAGGGGTGCACATGCCAGCTCCGGCTACTCGTGCTGGGGATTGGTTGGCTCAGATCCGGCCACTGCTCTATGACTTGAGCGAGTGGTCGCAGCTTTGGTGGAACAGGGTTGAGTGGGAAGCACAAACATTATACCGTCAATGGTCAAGGGCCCCGTCGATTGAGAAGGGTTTGATTCAGCCCAGGATGAGCATCGAATTGACTCATGTGAGACTTCGTAGATTGGAGAGCAGGGCATACGGCATGCTTCAGTCGTCTGTTCCACAGGCGATTCGGGATGAATTGTTGGCCACGCGGTCTTTGCACTGCGTTGGGCTTCTGTTTCAGATCCTGAAGGTATTTGCTCCGGGTGGAATGCAAGAGCGAGCGCAAGTGCTTACAGAGTTGACTAACCTGGGAAGCGCTAAATCTGCAGCGGACATCGTGAGTGCTTTGAGAGCTTGGAGCAGATGCCATGCTAGGGCTGTTAGCATGGGAGTGATGATTCCTGATCCTGCTTTGATCCTTCGTGGAGTTGATGCCCTGGTGGATCCACTGTCGCGCAAGGCGTCGAATGCTCAGGTGGCTTTCAGGTTGTCTACGGCTAGGAATCAATTGGAAATTGATCATCGGCCCAACATGACTTCGGTGATTGAGTACATGCGTGTATTGCAGTCTGAGTGGGAGCAGGTTTCTGTGTCAGGATTGGAGAGCAACTCAGCTGGACAACCTAAGGTTGCTCGTGTGGACACCACTCAGGGTAACGGGGGTAAGGATGGGGACAAGGGAGGCAAAGGGCCCAAGGGAGGAAATCAAAAGGGTGAAAAGGATGGGCAAACTGTCAACAACAGTAACACTGAGGGCACACCTGCTAAGGCGGGGGGAGGACGAGGACCCAACAAGCCTCCCTGCAGCTTCTATCTGACGGGCAAGGGCTGCTGCAAAGGTCGGGAATGCTCGCATTATCACGACTACGCGGCTGCCAAAGGGCAAGGTAGATGCTACAATTGTGGCTCCGAGCAACACAGACAGCAGGAGTGTACAAGGCCAAAGGGCAAAGGGAAGGGCAAACAGCCCTTGGGGGAGTCCACGG